CGCTTTAACAAGTCCATTTTACTATTTCATTTTCTTTTTTCTTTTCTGTTGCTCCACAGATCCGCCGGGACCGCCGTACATTGAGGGCTATTCACCCACTGAAACGCTGCGGCGCGGCCAGACGGTGGAGCTCATTTGTCGCAGTCGCGGCGGCAATCCGCCCGCACAGCTCATCTGGTACAAAAACAATTCACAAATACGCATGGCCTACAGGTAGGTGGAGCAGCTCGGCTGGCGGTGCTGCAGTTACTGTTGCCATCATTATCTATCTCCATCCATTTGCTTGCAGAACCTCGGGCCGGCTATCGGAGAATATCTACACGTTCACAGCCGAGGCGAGCGACAACAAGGCGCGTTTCCGTTGCGAGGCGAGCAACGTGATGTCGCAGACGCCGCTCAAGGCGGAAGTTGATTTGACTGTGCTATGTAAGTGCAACCACCCATACAGCCACCCATACAGCCACCCATTCAGCCACCCAGCAGCATCATCAAAGTGAGAGCCAGCTGCCCTTAATGCTCTGCCATCAGATAATTTGCGTGTCCTGCCGGCTCGAGTCGACTCGAGTCTCGTTATGCAGATGGTGGCAATTGCCTGCTGCTGCTCCTGCTCCTCCTGCTGCTCCTGCTGCTGCTGCAATGCCTGCTCGTTGCGACTCCTTTGCATGTTTGCCTAATTGTATTTCGTTAATTTTCATATTTACACACTCTGACGCCCACACACACACACACACGCACACTTATGCTTACACTCAGTCTCTGTCGCTGGTTTGTGTCAACAGTCGTCCTTTGCAGCATGCCACTTGGCACGCGACTCAAAGCGAAAATAAGCCTGACAAACTCTGACTCGCTCGCACTCCCCACACTCCCCCTCTATCTCTCTCTCTCTCTCTCTCTCTCATACACACTCGGTGTGCGCTTTCTTTTGCAATTAAGCTTAAGTTTGCACTCTCATCCAACAGCAGCCACCCGCACCCACTTGGCTTTGTCAAATCAAGCAATGCAAATTCTTTTCAAGTGCCAAATAGCATAAACCCCACCAAGGTCCACGCCCACGCCCCGACCAAGCGTTGGCCACGCCCACGCCTCTCACAACAATTGCAATCAGGCTGTGGGGAAGGCAGCGCGAGTTTCGTCTGGCCAAAAAACGTCGTTAGTCGACGTCATTTGCATTTGCTGTTGCTAAAGCATCAAGTCCTCTACTCCACGGTCTGCTCTGTAAGAGCCTCCACACACACACACACACACACACACACACACACACACACACACACACACACACACACTCACACACACTTGTCTGTGTGTCAAACATGCAAATGGGCTACTTGAGGGCATGCGCTGCGTATGCGTGATATTCAAATTTGAAAGCGAGGCGAGTGGCCGTTGCTGAATTGTCGCTGTTTAGCGTTAGTTTACCTGCATAATGAAAGGCTGTCAGCACGTGCCCAGCCAGAGCTAATCCTCCGCACCAGCAGCGCCACGTCTGCCACTCGGACATGGCCAACTTGTCCGGCCAATCAAATTGGCTCTTGTTACTTAACCAGCTAAGCTAGCCTTTGTTTACCTTCTTCTTTTTAGCCTCCAAATATGCCACATTGAGTGGCCAGCCAACTGGCTCACACACACACACACACACACACACACACACACACACACACACACACACACACACACACACACACACTCACACACACACTCAACCATTTTGACTTCAGCTGCGCTCGCTCTTCGCATTATTTATGTATAACGAAATGTGGCACAAAATGAAGACGTAGCTGGCATACACATAGAAATTCCTGACCCAACGCACGCCTCACCCCTCGTTCCGTACCCTGCTCCAGCAGCAGCGTCTCATGTGTGCTCGGAATGAAGATGTATGGCAAAAGATGCGAGAAGTTAAGAATTCATAATGTTTATTTATATGCGAAACATATCGAGCCGAAGTTTTCTCCATCCTTTTTTTGCATTTTATCCCTCACTCTGCCCCCGTTTGCGAATTGGTCCAGCGGGGCGTATGCGTAATATATGCACAGCTGCTGCTGCTGCTGCTGCCTGCTGCTGCTGCTGTCTGCTGCTGCTGCTGCCTGCTGCTGCCTGCTGCTGTCTGCTGCTGTCTGCTGCTGCTGCTGCCTGCACTTATCCATCAAGAAAAGTAGCAGCCAGCTGCAGCTACAGCTTCAGCTTCAGCTTTAGCTTCGACTTCTGCTTCAGCTTCAGCTTCAGCTCCTGCCACTTTCGTTACTGGCATTAGGTAATAGCTCGCCAAGGCAGCGCCTCAGTCGCCTGTCACTCAGTCACTCAGTCATCATTTGCATTCCGGCAGCTAGGCAGAAGCGATACGCCGTCTCACTCACACTTGCCCCCTCCCTCCCCCCGACCACACCCTGCACGTGTATATAAGCCGTGCGGCATGCCACAAGTGAGGCACTGGCGCAGGCTTATTAAATATTAATGCCATGCGAAATTACTGCTGCTCCCCTACAACACACACACACCCACACACACATACGCATAAAACCTGCTGCTATCTATAATCCATACATCTTTCTTTCACATACAGTCGCACCTTCGCAAGTCACTGTGACAGGACCGACGGAGGCGCGCGTCGGCGATGTGGTGCCGCTGATGTGCACGACAGCGCCATCGAATCCGCCCGCCGAGATCAAGTGGATGGTGGGCGGACGGCAGATACGCAATGCTACCTCCAAGACGACCATCAGCCCAGAGGGTGAGTTGAACTGCACTGATTGAGCTCGTTTAGAGAGAGAGAGAGAGAAAGAGAGAAAATAATTTGCTAATTATCTAACTTTTGTCGTTCATTGCAGGCGGCTGGACCACCAGCTCGAACATCACCACCATTGTGGAGCCCAACAAGCGCTCCCTGGTGGTCATCTGCCACGGCCTCAACATGCAGCTCACCGAGAATGTGGTCTCCACGCATACGATTAATGTTCTGTGTGAGTATTAAGCAGAGATTGCTCTTACCTTAAACTAAAATAAGCAACAGCTGTAGTCGACTATCTATATACCCTACATCAATTTTTACGCTGCTTCGCTTTAGCTGTCGTTCAGCGCTCGTTTCGCCTTTTCCCCTCAACTCAGCTCAATTTGTTATTGACACGCTTACGTTAAGTTTGGGGTATTCAGTTTCAGTTAATTTTTTTAATTTTGGTGCGTTCATCGGTTGAAGATGGTTTCCCACCTGCCGAAATGCCTGTCAGAGTTTTCGCTCGAGGAGCCAGCTGAGAACGTCGCGGATGTGCAAAAGAGCAAGTCCGTCGGCTACAAGAAGAAGAAATCGAAGAAGCACACGCCCAGCAGGCCAATGGGCGTGCAGGAGTTGGCGCGCTACACAATGTGGCGCGAGCATCGGGAGCGTTTGATGAACATCGTCAGCGAAATCGATCAATCCCCGCCAGCCACACAGGCGGTGCGCCAGACCCGTGTGAATGCGCTGCGCGAGGAGGCGCAGCAGTTTATGCAACGCACCAAGGAGAACATTCACATGCTGCTCAATCTCTCGCAGACGATGCGCACCCACGGCGCCATCGATCCGTTTCGGCACGATGCGCCGTATGTGATGTCCACGGTGCCGGCGACGATTAGCGATCTGGAGCAGCTGGAGCAGGATAATTTCGATATGGGCAAGCGTCTGTTGAGCATCGGCAGTGAGATCGACTCGGGCCTCAGGGCTGATGGGACCGTCAACAAACGGGACTCGCAGCCCTTTGTCATGCCCGATCGCGCGATGGCCAAGTACAAGCCGTTCAACATCAAGCTGCCCTCGACGGACAAGGAGCGCTGGCAGCTCTTCCGTCCGCGCATCTACTTCGACATGTATCTGAAGGACGCCCGTCCGCTCGGCCGCATCGTCGTCCAGCTCTACACGGAGGCAGCGCCCGTGGTGGTCCTGCAGCTGGTGCGCGCCTGCATGTGCAACATGCATAGCAAGTTTCAGATCAAGCGCCTCTTTCCCAACCTCTGGCTGGACGTCGAGCTGCCCACCGAGAACAACACCGCACTGAACAGCCCCTTGGAGTACGATGGCAAGATCATTGATCATGGCTCCGGCGGCTATGTGCTCTCGTTTAGCAAGAGCCATCTGACGGGCTTCGGCGACAGCATTCCCTTCTCCATCTCGTTCAAGCCGCTGCATGTGGTGAACGGCTCCAGGATCGGCTTCGGCCGTGTCGTCAAGGGCAGCAAGATCTTCGAGTGCCTGCAGAGCTATGGCAACAAGAATGGCACCCTCAGCCGTGGCCTCACCTTCACCGACTGCGGCGTCCTCTGAGCGCCACCAGACTCCACAATTCCACAGATACCAAGTCAGTTCCTGTTTCAGTTCGGTTTCAGTTTCAGATCCACAGCCAAATTTGATGCATTCAAATAAGTTGGACAGGGTAAACCTAGCAGCACGTATCAGATGTCAAATTTTTGTCGTTTTAGTCTGTGTCTGTTTTAATGTCAGTCTAGTTTTAAAAGCTAACCATATAGGGTCATAGTAGGGATACATAAGAATAAAAAAATTATTTAGCTCAAATTTATAGTAACATTCTTTTACCGTTGTTGATAAGAAAACCCCCGTTAACATTCAAACGGCCTATCGATGTCTCTGTACAAGTTTCCACGTTGCCAGTCGATCACCTCGATGGGATCAGCAGAGTTCAATGCGATGCAAACAGCCGAAGCGGCTCCCAAGCCGGAGGCCAAGCCGAAGCCAAAGCCGAAGCCCAAGTTCAAAACTCTGCTGGAGAAGCAGAAGAAGCCCAAGGTGAAGATGCACAATGCCGGCCACATGGCCGCCTGGCGCGAGCATCGGGAACGGGTGCTGGGCATGACAAGCGAGCTGGACACGCGGCCGCCCGGCTTCCAGGCGATCCGGGTGACCGGTGTGATCACGTTGCGCCAGATCGCCATGCAGTTCATGGAGCGCACCAGAAAGAACATCCAGATGCTGGTCGAGCTATCAAAGACGATGCGCACCCACGGCGACATCATTCCCTTTCGCTATGATCGGGTCTACACGATGTCCTCGCTGCCCTACACGCTGAAGCAACTCGATCGCCTCGATGTGGAAAATCGGGACATTGGTAAACGGATCAAGGACGTGGTAAGCGGACTCGACACGGGCATCGAGAAGAAGAACAGCCTAGTCAAGAGGAAGCATAAAGCGCGCGTACCACCGTTCCATATGCCCCAGACCGGCCTGGCCAAATACAAGGGCTATAACATTACGATGCCCAGGACGGACAAGGAGCGCTGGAATCTGCTGCGTCCCACCATCTATTTGGACATCTTTCTCAAGGGTTCACGTCCGCTGGGTCGTATCGTTGTCCAGCTGTACACGGAGGCCGCTCCCGTCGTAGTGCTCCAGATGGTGCGGGCCTGCATTTGCAACATGCACCAAAAGATCGTCATCAAGCGACTATTCCCCAACCTCTGGATGGATGTGGATCTGTTGGAGCATGGCAACCCTGACCTGAGCCAGTCCCTGGAGTATGACGGCAAAATCATTGATCATGGCGCGTCCGCCTATGTCCTCTCCTTTAGCAAGGAATATCTCCAGGGATTTCCCAAAAATGTCTCCTTTTCCATGTCCTTCAAGCCCCTCAGCGTTGCCAATGGCAGTCGCATCGGCTTTGGCCAGATCATCCAGGGCAGCAAGATACTCGATAGCCTGCAGTGCTACGGCACCAAGAACGGCAAGCTCAACCGCAGCATCGTTTTCACCAGCTGCGGCTTGCTCTAAATTCATGTAAATGTACGAAATTACCAGTGATCAAGTAATATGCGATTCGTGTTTAGTTTTTTAGAAATGTCAGTTAGATGCATAAGTAAATTTCAGAGTGTCATCTGAGTGAATTTTTGAAGCGTTATTTCAGATGCTTCACCATGCTTGGATAATCCAAATGAGGTCCTTTACATTTTTATGCTAATTATTAATTATTAATTATTATTTTGGCCGTATTCAAAATTCCAAAACCAGAACAGACCATTCAGAGCACAATTTCAATAAATTTGAAGTAAGCTATTGGGTTTATTTTTATTATTTTTTTTTTTTTTTTGAGGGGTATATTAAGTAGTCGTAATATGCATATGCTATACCTAAAGTATCCCTTGAAAGAGGATAACAAATAAATATAAGTTAGAAGTTTGATTAGGCATAGATGGACAGGGCAGCTCTTCTATATCTATAGACAGCTTAATATGGACGAGAAAGAATGAAAGACGGAAAGGATGTTAGGCCTGCAAGTAGTCTAGAACAGGAAGGACTTCAGGAAAGTTGTTCAGTAGAAAGAATAACAAAAAAATATTTATTAATAGAGATCTTCATCAATGAGCACAGAAGAAAGTGTTAGACAGGAGGGAATAGAGGATAGACAAGAGATTAAAGCATAATAGTTTAGGAGAGTAATTGCATGGAAACAATAGACAATATACCTCTTAGCAAAATATTCCCATATGATGATCAGATCCAGCTACTTTCCTTTGTCATTCTTTCGCCTGTCAATCAAAAGACCTCAGATCTGTCCAAGAGTTTTACTTAATCTAAAAATAGGTCAACTTGGCTTCAGCTCAGTTAAGAATAATCAGCTTCTTGCTTACTAAATATTTTATTGCTGGCATAATTATTTGAATTAAGAATTCTTAGGTAAAATTATTTTTATCTGTTCCACTCTTACAATCGATCTCATTTTTCCTCCCTCTTTGAAGGGATAAACCTGTTCTGCAGGCTGTTTGGCAGCATTGGAGCGAGCTGTCATTAGCATCACTCAGAGTTTGAGTTCCAATCAGTTGGCAGCAGAGCGTCAACGCCTGTCAATTTGTTAACTAAACTAGTTGCTGCTGTTGTTGCTGCCTCATGCTGTTGGCTCATGTCCAGCCTCATCTCTATTTGCCACGTTACAGACGGAGGTGTCTTAAACTCCATTATGCCATGTTCGACGTCACTCTTCATTTGGCTCAATTATAAGCGGACAGAGTGAGGAAAAAGCGCAAAACACGAGTACAAGTCAAACAGAAAGTGATAGAGAGAGAGAGAGAGAGTGAGAGAGGGGGGGGCTATAGGAAACAAGCCATAGAGCTCTGACAGTTCTCACTTCTGCTTAACAAGATGGCAAACCAAGTTTTGGTTACAAGGCCCACTACACAAGGCTTATTAATAATTGCGCCATTCTCTGGCCAATTTCTAGTTTCAGTCTTTGACTTAGCCAGCTTGGCTAGCCAGCGGCAGCGGCAGCGGCAGCAACTGGTAAACAAAGCCAGCGACCACTTGAAGGCCCAGCTGGGCTGCTGGCTGACTTATGTTGTTGCTGTTGTTGTTGTTGTTGTTGTTGTCGTCCACGCGTCCTTTATGTGCAGCGCTCCTGCAGCGCTAATTAATTTTTCTGACCAGCATTCACAAACAGCGGGGGCGGAGCCGCAACCCGACTGCGAGATTTACATTTATTACCCATACCCCAGGCCCGGGGCCACTCTCTCTCCCACTCTCTCTGTCTCCCCCTTTCTCAATCTTCCTCTATCTCTCGCTGACAGGCTACAGCTGCCAGCGCTGGGGGCATGGAATTGCTCCCCTTTCGCTGGCCCGCCAGCTGTTTGGGATTTTAGGCAAATTCAAGGCCGTTTTGTGCCTTGTGTGAATACATACATATATATACATATATATTTCTACATATATATATATTGTACAATATATGCTCTGGGCCCTCGAGATGCTTGTACTTTATGCGCGGCAAATTAAATAATTTTAATTTTTATTGTTTGGGCCCTGCTGCCCCCACCCTGCTCAGCGGTTGGTCCTTGGCTACGGATTCCACTTTTAGTAGGCCATAATTTGCTGGCCAAGTTTCGTTTTTTCTCTGTGTGTGTCTTTTTTCTTCTAGTTGGCCAACATTTGTTGTTTTTCTTTGTCCTTTTCGCCATGCTGACGTTTTTTCGCCTCTCTATCTATTTAATTTTTTTGCTCTTACTTGCAGATCCGCCCTCTCCGCCATTAATTTCGGGCTATATGGAAGGACAAATTATACCAGCCGGGTCGGTGCAAAAACTCCTCTGTGTCTCATCGGGCGGCAATCCGTTGGCAACGTTAACGTGGTACAAAAACGACAAACGGGTGAGTTTTTCTATTTCTCCTTGTTGTTTTTGCTGTATATATAGAAATACGGGTACGGGTAAAGGAAATAAGAGTATATTGGTTTCATTTCTGCAATGTGAATGCATTTTGTGGCTAATGAGACGATGAGTTGACTAGACTTGCGGGAGTTGATATATATTTATATATTTTAATAGATCATTTTAGCATTGAAATTTGTAATAAAATTTGGGCAATAGCTAGAAATAAATAGAGTCAAGAAATAAATAAAGGAAGAGAAAAATTAAATACATAAATCAATAAATACAAGTAAATAAAAAAAGATTAATAAATAAATAAACAGTCAAGTTTATAACAAATAAATAAATTTAGAAATATTCAAATAATACATAAAAAAATATAAACAAATAAATAAATGAATAAAAAAATAAAAAAATACAATTATTAAATAAATAAACAAATCGATATATAAAT